GATCGGCCTCTAGATCTCGTTCCCAGATGAATTTCGGCTTCTTCGCTTCCTCTTACTCGGGGGAATCCATCCTAGGCTTTGATTGTCAGGATGTTGCTCGTGTAAACGTGAAAATATGAGTGAAAACATCTGATCTATGATATTGCTTATTTGTTGTGGTGTGTTGCTGCTCAGATAACACTTTCCTTCTTCTTTAACGTGTCTTTACTTACGTGGCTACTTACTTGGTTGAAGAATAATATGCATACTTGTAGGCGGCACAATGCCGTAGCTGCTCTTCCCTCCTCTCGAGGAACCATGAAAGTGAAAGGGCCTGCCTGCTGATCGTGCCAGTCAACAGCTAACTTCTAACAATTAACTTTTCTTTAACCCAGTCAAACGACTAAAGCGCTCTGAATGTTTGATACCAACGTATGTGGTGTAGTGGTTAGGTGCTTCGCCTTTATACGCAGAATGGGTATCATTTTTATCGAGTATCCCAGTCTGTCCGCTAGGATGCTGTTTCCTCCTCAGCCGGGATTGACCCTGACATTTGACCTTGCCTCATGAATGATCTAAATTGTGTCGATGGGGGCGTAATAACTTACTTTACTTTACTTTTTTCTTCCGCTTGTACCCTGGGGTGTCGCGGGGAGACACAGGTGTCTGTCTGCAGCAAGTCGTGTGGCCTGTAGGAGGGACATCCCATGATCTTTAAGGGTGTCTGCCACAGATTCACTCCATCGTCGCCTTGGTCTTCCTCTGGCTCTCCATCCAGAATATTTAATGTTGTATGCTCTCAGAGCTGGATGGTTTGAGGGCATCCGCGTGAGGTGTCCGAACCACTTGACCTTTTGTTTTTCAATGTGTGGTAGGACTGGTGTTGCTCCCACGGTGTCCCTTATGACTTCATTTTTAATTTGGTCTCTTCTTGTTTTGTTGACCGCTCTTCTTAAGCATTTCATCTCGCATGTGACCAGTTTCCTCTCTAGGGCTTTTGTTAGAGTCCATGTCTGGCACTGATATGTGAGCGTTGGAAGGAAAATGGCGTTGATGAGCTTCGCCTTGGTGCTCATGGGGATATTGGGATGTTTCAGGAGAGGGCCCAGTTGGTAGCTGACTGCGTTGGCTCTCTGGCATCTAGTCTCTATCTCTCGATCTAATTTTCCATTTTCTGTGAAAATGCTGCCCAAGTATTTGAATTCTCTGCTTTGTTTTAGTTGGGATCCATTGATGTTGATATCCACTTTACCTGGTCTCCTGCTAATTGTCATGACTTCGGTCTTGCTTATACTGTAATAAAACATACATTTATATCTATAGACAATCTAAATAATGATTTCCTTACTGAAATGAATCCTTTCTTTCTGACATGATATCTAACACGTATCCACGTTTAGGAGGACGAAATTAGAGTCCTGTGAATGTCCTTTGCACATGCTATTCTTATCCGGATGTAGCATGAATCTTTACTGAAAAATGGGATGTGCTGCTATGTCTTTACTTCAGGCCCGAATTAACGATTGTCTGGGCCGAAATTGGTTTCAGTGGCTGATGTATTCATCATTTCAATGCTCTCTCTCTCTCTCTCTCTCTCTCTCTCTCTCTCTCTCTCTCCCTCTCCCTCTCCCTCTCCCTCTCACTCTATATATATATAAAAATCTAAAAAATATAAATCTCTCTCTCACTCATGAGAAAATTGCGCCAATGTGTAGGGGATAGGGACCAGACGATTTGCAACTCTTTCTTTCTCATCCTGTGTGTGTGTGTATGTTCTGTCGGCGTACTAACGCCCTAGCCAACTACGAAAAGGCCCCTTCATCTTGATCGCAACACAACACTCAGGCTAGAGTTAGGTAGCATAGTGGGACAGAGGAAGGAAGAGAAGTATACGAGTGATCATGGCACACATCATCATACGGGAA